CACTGCTCCAAAGAGCCACAGCACAGACTGGCCCCAGAGGGGGAGGCATGTCATACTCACCCTCACCTGGCACTGGGGACTGTGTCCCAGTCCCTCTGCTCTGATTGATTTCAGCATTGCCCAAGGCAGCCACTCTTCTCCCAGAGTCGCGGGAGAACCCACTCTCCTCCCAGAGTGGGGGGACAAACAAGTTCAGGCTCCCAGCCCCACCCCCCTCTTCCTTCAGACTGGCCCCAGAGGGGGAGGCATGTCATACTCACCCTCACCTGGCACTGGGGACTGTGTCCCAGTCCCTCTGCTCTGATTGATTTCAGCATTGCCCAAGGCAGCCACTCTTCTCCCAGAGTCGCGGGAGAACCCACTCTCCTCCCAGAGTGGGGGGACAAACAAGTTCAGGCTCCCAGCCCCACCCCCCTCTTCCTTTTACTCACCAGCCCCCACTCTTCTCCCAAAATAAGGAGAGAACCCAGGCATCCAAGTTCCCAACCCCCCTTGCTCTAACCCTCCAGATCTGGGCAAGACCCCAACTGTGTTGGACAACCTCAGTCTGGAGGTGTTCTCTTTCACCCCTTTCAAAACCAGTGAGCTCCTTTCTGATCCAGACCCCACTTAACCCACTGAGCTTGGAGAACAACACTCAGGTTGGGGAACAACAGGTGTCCCTGGACACTTTGTCTTCCACCCTGGAAAGGTCATTGGACCATGCAGCAATGAGGCGAGGCCATGTGCTCACAAAACAAAACTATGGTGGGTGTCGGGGACAGTCAGCAGCAGCTGGAGGTCCTTTTGGGTGCTGGGGAGAGCCGCATCATGGTGTCAGAGGAGAAGGTTTGAAGGCCTGAGTATTGGGTGATGCTGCTCCCCTTGGACAGCATCGTGAATACCCTGGTCATGACCTAAAAGAACACGGAGGTGTTTAGATGGTGATTTTTCTGGGCTGGTTGGGATAGGACTGATCCTGCCTCTGGCAGGGGGTTGGACTAGAAGTGACCTCCGGATGTCCCATCCAGGCCCACTGCTCTATAAAGATGGTCTTTTGCAAGAGATGACCAAGGAGCTAAAGTCTTGCTTGGGGCAGGCCCTGGAGAAGTTCTCCATGGAGCCCAGTTGCATCCCAACCAATGCTTGGCTGGAGGTCCAGTGCCATGGCAGGGCCCTGATGTTCCTCTTTGGCCAAGGAGCATAGAGGGACAGGAGGGGGCAAGCTGGGTCCCCAGGACTGAATCCTGGTGGGTTTGGGGATAGGGCTGGGCTCCCAGGGCCCGATCTCAGCACAAGGGGCAGGGAAGGCACAGTTCCAGGCCCCCAATATCCAATCCTGGCACATGGGGAGTTAGAGGGGCAGCACTGGACCCTGGGGACCCAATTCTCATGGGAGGCAGCAGGGTCAGGCCCCCAGGACCCAATCCCAGAGCCCAGGGAGCAGGAGTGGGCAGTACTAAGCACATGGAAACATGTTCCGTTGTTTTCATTGAGGAACCTTAACCCCTTCAGCTCATCTTCACCCATATCAGCCAGGCCTGTCCCCAGGATCTCAGCCTGCTTCACGGGCAGGGAGGAAACTGAGGCACAAGGGGAGGGCAGTTCTTACCTGAAGGATGTAGAAGCCAGGTCTCTTGAATGCCTTAGGCCACAGAGATGCCTCCCCACACCGTGCTCAGGGTGCTGTAGTAGGCTCTAACCTTGTGCATGTGGCTTGGCTGCTAGAGGCGGCCATGGAGCCAGAGTGGGTTAGGGTGTCCAGATGTCCTGTTGGTGCCCCTCACTCCCAACTGACTCCTTCCAGCCCTGCCAGTGCCCCTCACTCCCAACATGCACCCCCCCTACCCCCTCCAGCCCTGCTGTTGCCCCTCCCTCTTGACCCGCAGCCCCCTGCTCCCCCCAGCCTTGCTGGAGCCCCTCACTCCTGCCCCACAGCCCCCTGCAGTCCCCAGCCCTGAAACTCTCCTTGGTTTCAGCCCAGCAAGAGGCTTTTCACTTCAAAAACCTCTCGCTGAAGCAAGGCTGGCTCTAATCTCTCCACCCCCCTTCGTGAGCATCCCCTGGCTCAACCCAATTGTGCCTGTCCAGTGGTGTTTGCACAGGCACTGCTGAGCTCAGCATTCCTGGCACTCGCTTGTGTTGATAGCGGCAGGGGAGAATCTGCTGGGAGGATTTGATGCCTGCTGCAGCTTATCCCTTTTCAACAGGCCTTTTTCCCAGCCCAGGAAGAGGAGGGGAACCAGGGAAAAGGACCAATAAGCCCAGAGCCCAGGACCCAATGCACGAGGAAGCAGCAATGAGGAGAAAAAATGGCTCATCCATGCAGAATTCCTCCCCGCAGGCCTCCCAGCCTGCTCCAACACTCCTAGGAGGCCTCAAGGGGCATGAAGACAAAGCTAAAAAGCCAAGCCCAGAGCCCACCATCAGTCTGAATGACCCCTCAGGGAATCCAGTTGTCTCTGGGCCAACGAAGGCAGATGGCCACTCTAGTGAAAATGCGAGCACAGAGGGTTTGCTGACCCAGGAGCAGAAGAACTGCCTATTTGGCATCTTGAAGGACTTCCTTCAGGAGCCATCATACCTCCGGGATGGGGCCAAGATGGCCCGCTGCTGTGGGGCTTACACGCTGGAGCTGGTCTATGGAAAGCGGGAGTGTGAGCTGAGTGTGCTCACCCCCAGTGGGAGCTGCCACCTGCGTCGGAAGTTGCCAACAGGCGAGATGTACCTGGACCTCTTCTGCCACCGTGGTGAGCCACTGACCTTCAGGAACCTGCAGCGGGTGCAGGGTGAGCTGGCTGCGGCAGGGGTCCTGAGTGAGAAGCTCCAGGCTTGCTTCTCATTGGCCATCAGCAAGTTTTGTGGTGAGCTGGGCTTGGTGCAAAAGAACACCAGGTTGGAGATTGGCTGTGCTGGTGGGGCCATCACCTTTGTCTCTGGTGAGGGCCGGAACAGCATGATAGTCTACTATGACAACAACGAGAAACGGCCTCGCTACAAGATCACCATCTCCGACTGGTGGCTCAAGCTCTTCTACTACCTTCGGGAAAACCTGGGGGACATCTTGGCCCAGGCTGCCGAGAGCTTAGAGCTTCTCCAGAAGATCATCGTCTTCCTCCGAGCCATCTGTGCGGTTATCTGAGATGGCACCTGGCCTGGCTGAGGGGACATGTTTTGTCACCCTGTTTTTAAATGTGTTTGACCAGATATTGGTGCTGGTGACCTGACTCTCTGATGGGGCTGTAACCTATTGGCTCTAGACCCATTGACTACAGTGGCTGCCAAAGACCTGGATCTATTGACCCTAATGGGGATATACCACTTATACTAGCTGGGTAGGTGACTGTGTGGGTGGCTACAACCTCTTTGCACAAGTTAGGTGTGCAATTCCCCCATCCCTGTTGACTGTAGTTGGGCTACCACCTCTACACACCAATTGGGTATGTGATCCCCCGTCCTTGTTGACTCTAGTGGGGCTACAATTTCTCCACATTGGTTGGCTGTAAGGCTGCCCCTCCCCGCTTCCCTTTTGACTATAGTGGGGCTACAACCTCTTCACACCAGTTGTTTGTGTGACCCTCCCAATCCCTGTTGATTGTAGTGAAACTACCCTCTTCACACCAGTTTGTGTGACAACCCCCATTTACACCGACTGTAGTGGGGCTCTGGCTAATGGACCCCAGATGGGGTCTTGGCCCTACCAACTCCAATGGAGCTGTGTCTGATTGACATCTGCTGGGGATTTGGCCCTGTCTTGTTCTCTATCTCTCGATTTCAGATGTGTTGCTGTGGAATGACATGGGTTTTATTTTTGTCCCCCCTGTTGTTACTCTGACAGTAGCACTGAGTGATATTAACCTGTGTGAGACTCTAGGACTAGCAACCTCACCTGCTTTGTGAGAGAATCCCATGTCATCTGCCTGACAGAAATCCTGCTCTGTGTTTTGTCTGGTTTTCCCAGCCAAACACTGGAAGCCTAGGTTAGACAAGTACTTGGATGGGACGGTTTGGATAGGGATGATCCTTCTTTGAGAAGGGGGTGTCAGGCTAGATGACATCCTGAGGTCCCTTCCAACCCTATTTTATCACAATTCTACAAAAGCTGGTAGTCAGGGAGTGTGGTTGAACAAGCCAGAGGTGCCTGGTGCTGTTTCTTCTCCACACCTGATTTTCCTTTTTTTATCAATAAACCCTAGTGCTCAGATGGCTGATGTTTGCCTTTGTTTTGCAGAGGTGGGGAGAAATGGCCATCATTCCTCCTGGTTGGTTGGCTTGCTGTTATGATCACCAATCTCCTAAGAGGGAAAAGAGCTACTTCCTATCCCTGCCCAACCAAGGAGGGGAAAATAGCTACGTATTTTCTCACATATGACATATAGACCTTTTCCGCCCACCAAAAAAAAAAGATTGTAGGTCGTGTGTTATATACAAGGAAATACAGTACGGGCAATTTCTCCATCTTACCAGATGAAACAAAAATTAAATCTGCCTATGATCTACAGGGCACAGACCAATGAACAGGTCCAGCTCCCTTGCTATAGCTACTTAATTAGTACAACAAAAGAGATTTTTCCCTTCCTTCTGCCTCTCAAAAGTAAGATGTGTATCTTATATTGGGGCATTTTGTATGCCAAAAATATTGTAGGCTACTCACTCTGCCAGTCCAAGCCTGGGTTCTCCATCCCATAGTCCTTCTAGTGCCCCTCACCCATAACCCCACAGCTCCTGGATACCCCAATCCTGACCTTAATCCTACATGGATTTAAGGGCAGATCCACTGGGCGTGCAGTTGTATATACTCCCCCCTCTTTGATTTCTGATTAACCTAAAATTTAAGCCAAGTGCCTGGCAAAGGAAGCAACATGGCTATCCAGACAGCCCTGAGGGAGTCAATTGACTTCATAGCTCA